AAAGTAAGAGAAAGCATAATGTGAAGTTATTAGTGAAAATAAATTAAAAATCAAGCTGTTTCAGTGAAAAAAATACAAAAAACTAAATTTCAAACAGTTTCGGTTTACTTTTCATTCTCACTTATATTTTCATTGTCAACTTTGGTTCTTGTACATATCGACTTTTCGAAAACGGAGCCAATAAGACCATGAGCAGTGTTTAACAAGTTTACTGGTGTCGAACCATCTGTAATCAGTGTACTCTGTAGACCTAAAGCCTTCAACATGCGTAAGTTGTGATCTGACTCAGCTGTTGCCATAGCACGTAAAGTATCTGCACCGAGTGCATTGACCATTGAGATAAAACGTGATTTTTCAATTTCTACTTCATCAGCTTTATATTTCAAAGTCAACTCATTCTTTTGTTTTAGATAGGCGATTTCCGCTTCTCGAGCTAACTGAAGTCTTTGCAATTCTGCATTCTGGAAATTAAAAATCAAAGTTAAAGTTAGTCAATGTATATATTTAAATATAAATAATGAAGATGACCAGCGAACAGCAAAAACAATAAAAACCAGCACCAGTCATCATCAACCGGAGAGATTTAACAAAGATTACCTCCTTCACTAATCTAAGAAGCATCGCTTCAACTACAGGCAGGACGAATAAAGATGTGAAAGCCAGCCAGTCAAAATCGGAAGGGCAACATTCACCAGCATAAACCTGAAACCAGTTATGAAATCTTCCACTGTCACTCAACATAAAGAACAAAATTCGGATTTCCAACACCAATGTGAAGTCGGTTCTTCTATATGGGTCAGAAACTTGCACTGCGTGTCACGAAAAGGATTTCCAATATGTTGCTGGGGAATTTCATCAAGAGCTGCCCTCTTGGCTGGCTCCATACTGAAGATCAAATGGCCACAAAGAATTAATAAAAAAAACTCTAGAAATAAACGAACCGAGAGCCGATCTCTCAACAAATATATATAGGATAAAATGGAGATGGATCGACCATACACTGACGAAACCGCTGAATGACATCACACGCAGTGTAGGCCACCACTGGAGTGGAATCCAGATGGGGAGCAACGAGTGAGTTATCCTAGGGTGACGTGGAAGAGATCGTGTGAGGAAGAGATGAGAGATTATGAGCAATCTCGGACCCAGATGAAGAGGATAGCAGAAAACAGAACAAAGTGGAGATGTGTTGTTGAAGACCTATGTTCCACTCGTAACGCAAAGGAACAATAATAATATATACTGATATATATATGGTGCATAAAAGGAATAAAGTCACATGATCAATGTGATTAAAGCCTGGCCTCCTTTCTGCAGTTTTTAATGCTGAGGTGCTGTTTTCTGCAAATTAATAAAGGTACAGAGTGGGTACGTGATAAATGAAAGATTCAGTTATGCGTTTCTAGTTAGCTGAAATCCTTATTCTCCATTTAAAATCAACTTAAGCCAATGGATTTGGGGAATTCTACACAGATTATGCAGGTCATTACAAGTCTCTTCACAAAGAATACAGTTTACGTACTCTCAAATTTAATGAAAAATGAGATAATTTTTAGTTTCGGGAATCATGCAGTACAATGAATAAGAGACTAGTGCGATTAAAAAACATGTAGGCATCCTGCTGTCCTGAAAGTCTTAATAGAGTAAGTAATTAAACGTTGAGTGCGTCAGTGGCATAGCGGTTAGGACGTTCGCCAACCATGCACATGGTCCAAGGTTCGATCCCCGGCCGATGCACTCCTTTACCTCGCTAAGCCATAAAAATGCTGGTGAAGAGGAAAGGTTGGGCATGAGGCTAGCAACCCCATCCTGTAAAAATAAATACTGCTACAGAAACTTTAAGCCACTAGCTTGAAGCCCTATGTTCCACTTGGGAACGTGAAGGAAAAAAATTAAACGTTGACGTTATGGTGGCATAGCATCTTTAGGTCATTTTCATATAAGTAGTTTTATGAAGTACGTTTTTCAACATATTCCAAATGCTTCTGATTTCATTATAACTTTATCTATCTTTGTATTCCCTTTTAAAATATCTGTAGAAGATCATTATATTATTTTTCATGCTTTATCCCTTGTTTCTGTCTGTTATCTACATCTATATTTCGCTTCATCCTGATGCTTACGCTGAAGATGCTGTCTACAAAAATACTCAAAGCTTCATTAATAACTCAGTTCAGATAACGCAACCACAGCAAAATCATCCGCCTGAGCTACAAATCACCCCTATTACATCTATAGTTCTATACCAGGCTGAACAGTGTTTCAACGAGATGAAAGATGCTTTATGCAAACACCACTAATTACTTATAATTCACATATATTATATTTCCTAAAACATCACACTAACTACTACCTCTGAATTGTATATTTTTCTCTTCATATATGAATGTATTTATTTCACTACCTATACAATAGAAACACAATGCCACTCGGTCTTCATGTTTTCTTACTACATAAATCTATTCTGTACAAATACGCAAAAGCACCAACCAAAGGTATCATAGATGGTTTGCTATAGGTTGGTATAAAGAATTTAGAATCTGTCATATAAATTCTGGTTATAGTTGCTGTCAAATAGCATTTGAGATTATCAAATATTACACAAAAGCAGTTTAGAAAATGTTAACTGCAAATTTATCTACCGTTTCAATTGATAAAGCTTCAGCACGAAGTTTAGCTTCCTCAATAGCAGCTTGGCTAGAAATACGATTCGCTTCAACTCGACTCTCGGCTTCTGCTTTAGCCTGGCCACTAATTTCAAGAGCAGCCAACTGCATTCGAATTTCAAGTAAATGACGTCTAGCCTCCTCAGCAGCTGCTTCATCCTCAATTCTTTGACGTTCTAGTCGACCTTTCGATTCCTGTTCAATTCTTTCAGCTTCATGACTGAAAAAAAAATGATCATTTGAAAATTGACAGAACTATTCACTTTTACTTTTCAAAAGTCTGTTGTAATGTTACTCAAATATTAAGTAAACAAACAAATAGCAGCTTTGCTGAATACACCTGAACGAACTTGCAACTGAAGGAACTAGAATCGTTGTCTAGAACAACAATTTAAAAATCAACTTACACAGGACACGATGTATTTGAGAAGCAGAGGCGAAATACTACGATATTTTGCAGCATGAACAAATCATTAACTCTGAAGGAATTTTCAGAACAAGTAAACTATTAACCTACCACTGCCTACATAATTGTTTATACACCTTATCGTACCATTTTACCTGCATTGATTGATGTTAAAACCAGTGTATGTTCTTTGCATTACACTGTCCAGTTATTCGTGCTTTGAGTTACTATCATTCCTATCAATTTCATCTTTAAAATGTGTGAATACACAATATACTTATATCAGTGGAAGAAATTTTATTTCAAGTTTCCGCCTTCATATAAACCATTGAATCATACCCTCGTGCTTAGTCAGTAATGCATGTTACCGATCTTACTTCATTATAATACAGGTTACCTGCAGTGCAAGAGGGGTCGAATTTCCTTGTTTTCCTGCAGTTAGAATATTCATTAAAAATAGATTGTCTACAATGAAGTTTACTTTCTTACCGAGCAGCTGCTTCTTGTGAATTAGTTGTTATTTCAATAGCCAGTTGAACTGATTTTTGCAACGACTCTCGCGTTCGCTGGTCTACTGGCTCTACTGACTGTACATCAACACTTGTAATGTGAAGATTATTCTGAGGGAATACGAATCGATCTCGAATTTTTCCCGCTTCATCCAATCCGAAGACAGAAGCACGAATTATTCGTGATGAATTCTAAAATTTACAAATACAAGAAATCGTAGTGTGCAGTAGTTATACATAAACTTGATGACACTGAATTATGTTAATTCAACAATTCTGTGTGAGGACAGTTGAATTCAGTTGAATTTAGTGTTGATCAATATACAACTGAAGATTGCTGAGTGCAATTAGAAAAACAGAAAAGGAGAAGCATCGTATCCAAATAGACCATAAATGTCACTGACTTATCAACGTAGAACTTTGCACAAAAATGAGACTGTTCAAATTCCCAGACTTTAGAGAGATAGATTAAAGGTTCACTTCAAGCATTTTTAAAATATGGCATATTCCAAGTACTAAAGTAACTTTGATCACATCAACGTGCATATATCAGTTTACTTGCTCTTGTGGAGCTGAGTACATCGGCCGTACCATGCGCCAACTTGGAAAACGCGCTCGCGAACACTACCCAGCCTGGCTAGTAAAAGGAGACCAAAAACGTGTATACAGTTCAGTGACAGAACATCTGGTCAACTCAGGACATTCAGCGCCTTTCGAAAAATCCTTCAAAGTAATATACAAGATTCAATCAAACCTATCAAAGGGAGTCAAATCAAGACATCTGGGCATAGCTGAGGCGCTAGCTATCCAAAAGCTCAAACCCACGCTTTGTATCCAAAAGAATTACGTCCAACCCCTGTCCCTGCCATGGCCATCATAAACAGGTAAAAAATTTTTAGTAATGACAATCTCATCACCCTTCTTATCTAAACTTCCTGTTTATTCATGTTATTTTAAGTTTTCCTTAATCCCTGTCTACACTACCATATTTTCATATCCACTCTTCCTGTTTATTTTGTCATTTTACTATTTCTACATATTTAATCCCTGATTGCATAAACAATTATTCATCATATTAGTTTTTTATCCAAACATCCTGTATATTTTGTTATTTCTACATTTCTAACCCCCAATTGCACAATGTCAATCTTCTTAGTTATTATAATGCTACTTTGTTCGAGTTTTATCCGCCCCCCCCTGTTTATTATGGCATTCTAATTCCTAATTGTAATTTTTATTAATTTGACCCTTAACCGGAAATTATTCTGGAACTTTCCCATCCATTTGATATAAATACACGAATGTACAGCCTAGATGATGACTTCGTCGAAAAGAAAATTTTCTTCGCTGCAATTGTCTTTTAAATACATCAAGTTAGATAAGAGCAAAAATCGTATTATAATGAAGTACACACTATACCTTGTGAAAATCATCGAACTGAACAGATGCAACAGTACCACGAATACGAGATGCTATGGCCTTGCAAGCATCTCCAACAAAATCTGGAACTGAAAATAGCTTAGCAGCATCAGCTTGACTGCACGATGGAGAGATATCAAACACCCAATTGTAGGATAGCTGTAAAGACAGGCGAGCATGATCTGCTGTTTCCACAATAACAATATCAGTACAGAAGTCTGGACCTAAGAGTAAGCAAAGAGTTTTAATTACATTGGGTTTCTTGGGTTTTCCACCACTCAAGCTGAGACGAGTAAACTGTTCGTCTGGTCCCAACATAGCTAAATGTGGTCCAAACTCGACTCTAGACCTTTTATTTTTGTAGTCGTAAATTTGAACTGCAGCATTGTGTGGAACACGAAAAGTAACCACACGGGTTGCATCAAAATCAGCGGATGTTTCTCCAGAGGATCGAACTCCACGATCTGCACATGGGTCTAAGTTCATTGATAACAACTGAACAACATCAGGTTGAAGCTTCTTTTCCCACAACTCTTCATCCTGATTTAGCATATAGGCATGACCAATAACAGCACGAACTTGTCCTGTTTGCATATTGCGAACGTAAACACCCTCATTAAAATCTAAAGGGATGATTTTTCGACGTCCTATCACCTCAACTTCAACAGGAGGTACGTATTCGATAGGTCCACGTAACATCCACCGATCTCCAGGACGACGTAACTAAAAGCAAAATGTAGATAAAACCAGCTGCATTATATAATGTCTAAGAGAAACTAAACAGATTTTATACATAAGAAGTCTGTAATAAAACAAATGTAAAATAATAGAAATAATAACTAAACGGTAATAAATCGCTCTGTGGAACATTTATTTAATTCACGTAATTTGAGCTGACCACACTCCCTCTATTATGTTATTCTTGCTTCTTCTGCATTTTCTCAAAAAAGTTATCTACTGTACACTAACAAGCAATCTAACTTTTTGTCTGTCTTAACACGAACGAGTTCACTTTTACAATATATCCAACGAAGCACAAACGGGAATTTTGGCAATACTGGCTAGTAGTGATGAAGTCCATATAATATACAAGAGCAGCACCACTTAATAAGAGTGAAATCTTCAAGAAAGACAAAAAAATAACATTTCAAATGTATAACAGATTGCATAGAGATTTCATAAAATGTGAAAATACTTACGATTGTTTTCTGTTTTGTGGAGCCCTCTTCTGACGCATCATCCTCAAAAATATCGTCCATAAGCTGTTCTCTGGCACGAAGAATCAGGCCCTCATCATTTCCCAGAATATGGGTATTTTGAACACCGTCCTCTAAGTATTCTCCTGGTCTCAGGAAAAAAGACTTTTCCCCACGTATCAGTGCTCTCCTGCCTAACTGAGGCACTCCATTCTCATCACAAGGATTGACTATTATACAATACTGATGAGCCCGCAGCACAGTTACTTGAACTTCTTCCACAATCTCCTCAAGTGCACCACAGATATGATATTCTGCTTCTTCATTTGTTATTAACCACTCTTCACCAGCCTTGCGATATTTATTGAATTTGTCCGTATGGGATTTGATAGCTCTGACGGATACAGCTAGCTATAAGATAAACCATAAGGGTCAGTCAGTGGAGAAAGAAGTTCAAAAACTAAAGGTTACTTTACGATATATCAGCATTATTCGTAAACAATAAGTCGTTATTACTTAGTCCAGTTATTGCCTCATACACAAACAAAGTAAGACGAAGTTCGTTGCACACAATTGTGAGAGGTAGTCTGTGTTGTGCGGAAGCGTGATTATCACGGAAATAGTTTGGAAAAACATCTAAGCAATTATATACAGTAGCTCCTCAAATCAGTCCCATGTCAGATACTAAGTGATAGATATATCTCACTTGTCCCAGCTTTCTTCCAACTACAAACACTAAACACCATAGTACACATTTACTGTTACCCACCTAATCGAAACAAATACAATCATATCAGTATGACTTGTAGAGTAGGATAATTGAAAAATCCCCAAGTGTTTGACCACTTTTATTCTCTTAATACTGCTCACATGGGAGTAAAATCCTACGTCAAAAGGCTTCCCACTGGAAAGATTGGAAACCGAAATTCGAGATTATAAACTTCACGGAATGTGGCTCAAAACTGATCTCAGTTGAGATTGCTAGTAGATGAATTATTCTTGCCTTAGTTTTATTTCACCTTCTATTTTCGCCCTGTAACGTTATACGATCCTTGATATAATACTCACATGTTACCATTCCACCTCCTACCAGTTTCCAGTTGGTATGTAGAAAATTTTAATTTAATTTTTTTAAATTTTGATTACAGCTTGATGCCACATCGTATTTTCAGTACAAGTATGACATTTTCAGCATGGATATCGGTAGCCCAAATTTTGCAGGCCGACCATAGATGTCGGATGTGCGTCGGTAGGGGTTCGAACCCCGGACCATGTGCATGGTCGGCGATAGTCCTAACCACTGTGCCACCTAAATTCATTATTGTTGCGAACTGCAAACTTTCAGCAAACTGTGTGATATAAAATACTGATATAGAAATATTTTATGCAGAAAAGGCTTTATAAAGGCTATGTTCATATTAAAAACCGCTGAGTTAGTTTAGCTCCATGTTCTGTTACATTAGTTTGAGACAATATGTGTAAAGGTTAACAATACCACGAAGCCACTGATGATGATTTAAGTTTGTTATCCAATGTTTGTGAAATAGTTCAGAAGAGAATGAAGCCGAGTTGCTTTATTTCTCCTTTATTTGTAGCGCAATGCATTAAATTAACGGAACGGTTTGAATAAAGTGCGTAAGTCTCACCTGAGTAACTGATGAACAATGTTCACTTTCTCCGCCTTAATAAGCATTATGGAGTATAATGAACACTAGTTAAAACCTCAATTTCACGTAACCAGCTATAATATTAAAGGCCCCAAAGCAGTCACAGCTATTTATAAACCATACTGCATTAAATCCATTCAAGAACTTATTTACGAACAAATAATATTGCATCTCTACAACTATTCACAGCCTTCTGAGACCATGTTTTCCGATATACATGATCAATTTCGTGGTTAATACTTAATCACATGTGACTTGACAACAGATAGTTCGATTCACTTACAAAATAAGAAACGAAACAACAAACATAGAAACACAAATTATTGCTAGACATTTCTGACACTTACTTTGTCGGTCAAAGTAATAGCCTTGCGCTCCTCGACAATCCTTTCGTAAACTCCAGGAAGGTATGCGCCCTGAGTTGTAACTAGCCACCGTTCACCGAAAACACGAGAAACACCATTGCGATCAGTACAATCCCTCGTGGCTTCCATGACAAGAGCTGAATTAAGAAGAATCACTTTGGCTTCTTCACACTTCACAACTTCGACTTCTTTCCTAGGATAATAAGTTCCTGAAAAGCGAAATATGCAAATCCACACGATAGCTTGAACAAATAAATAAATCTTCTATGACTGGAAATACTTCAGATAATGAATTTCAACTTCTAGACAGAACTTTGTATATGGGTATAGTTGGCATTTTATTGACCTAAACGCGACACTGTTTCGCCTTATAACTTAGTGCAAGTCATAGTTTATATACACTAGCTTACTTTTTCTCATCACTCAGTCCTATTATCGAACATTTGTGGCCACTAATTTTCTTTTCCTCCCAGCATAGGATTTCGTTATCCAACTTCATCTAAATACACGGTTGATCTCAGCATCTTTAAATTCAGAGCAGAAACGAACTACGAAAGAAAGAAATCCGCTTTGTTCTGTCAGATTCTATGTTGTGGCTCAATTACATATTTTACTGGTTCACATAACTCGATTAATCACTCCTAAATAAGACTCAGTCACATTTTGTATTGCATTGGGACAGTGACACATAATTTCGAGAGTCTGGCCTGCTGTTATTTGAAGTCCACTCTCCTTAGCAGAATTTGAGTCTGAATTTTTCACTTACACAGAACCATGACTAAGAATTCAACATCCAGATAAAGATTTATTATTGAAAAAGAAACAGATACTAGATAAATCGACTTTACAAGTTTGAGTGTAGTGTTAGCAGTTAACTAGAATGTTAGAATAAAACGGGAGAGGCATTACTCACCTGGACCTTCAAATAGCCATTCATCCCCAGCTGTGCGCTTAATACCTCCATCTTCAAAATCTGAAAGTGCTCGCAACCTCAAAGCTGTGTTTGGAAGAACTATTGGAAGAGGCTTGATGCTATCTTTAAGCACTTCACCCGGATATAGAGGAAACGGATCTTGGGAGAAACGATATTCCTCATCACCCATTCGAACTCTGACCTGGCCAAATTCGTCAGTGACTGGAACACCCGTTTCATTCCTGATTACAGGGTTGCTGATAACGCAATACATCATGGATGGAACAACTGTAAATGCTTCTGGTCCCAGAACAACTCTAAAAATACTCAATTAGTGGTAAGTAAGCATACTTTTCATCCTTCTGACAAACATATGTCTTGGGACCAACAATCAACTCGGTGACATGGGTGTTTAAGTTTAGGACATGAATATAATGTCTTGGGCTAATCGATATGATCGGGGATTCCATATAGGACTTCATTTCAGACATCCGAATTCTGCAGTTCAAGATGTATCGTTGGTTAGTTCTTTTGCGAATTGTGGGGGAGTTTTATTCTGAAAGACAGAAAATTTTTGTGTATGAATAAGGCTGACATCAAATTATTTCGTTAACAACACACAACCAGTCGCATCAGTAGAAAATCTTTTTGCTTTTATTTTCAACGCAATCAACCAATATAAAGTTCTTATATGAAGCTTTTTATAACATGCTATTCGTTTCCACCAAGTATTATCAACTCAGGTGTAGTTTTCTCCGAGATTTACTCTCCTGAACCTGGGTTTAATATTGATTCAGATCATATTACTTTTCCGATATTCTCATCTACGAATCTCTAAAGAAGCCTGTTTTCTTACTGATACTCTTTTACTGTATGTACCCTAACAGAAACCTACAATTTTAAAAGTACAGTAATATATGAATGTAATATTTACTTGGTTTATTAATAATCTGAGATATTGAACTTCAAAATACTATATATTATTTTTTGAGAGGTACCTCAAACTTATAAAGCCATCATATCTTGATATGACTAATAATGATAATTATAATAAAACTGCTGCAGCCAACGGCTTATCAAATTCATGTAGTGTCCTATGTAGGATATAATATCATGCTGAGATTTATTTGATAGCCCTTCCCAGGTGGCAGAAAAATTTCATTTGCACATGCATGTTCAAAATGCCTGTGTATATCGTTGGTATGTAATTCGCATGAAAATCTCAAGTAAATAATACAGTTTACAGTTTTGCACTTGCATTACAATCAAAATTTCTTCAGCAACAACCAGTGATTCAGAAATTTTACGTTATAAATTTATTTTTAAACGAATTTTCTGAACAAGGATTGAAAATAAAAACTCTCCTTGGCAAACCTCTGAATTACACGAAGAGCAAACAAAATTTCTGAAAAAACACGAAATCTCTCTAGGTCAAGACTGCAGTAATAGTGCAACAAAACAAGTTGATATCCAATTTCCATTCTTATAAGTAGCCAGAACTTTGTTGCTTTTTTCCTTTCAGGTTTCATGGTAGAAAGTACTGTTTGAACTTTTATGAATTCCTGTTTAGTCAGTTCCGGCATGTGTCTGAAATATTTGTGAATGCCTCAGTGGCGGTTAGAGGTTGGCTATATATGGAATTCGGTTGGGTTTCAATGAAAAACTTGAGGAAAATCTGATTGCAGAAATCAGCGTATATTAGAGCAATACTAAGATAGTTATGCGGATGCCACAGATAATAAAGGTGATGAGATTAGATCAAACAGTTGGATGTTCTAGTGAATTCTTAAAATTTGTTGACAGTACAGTTTTTGGAAATTGAGTCCCTATTTCCTATATCAGCAGTCCCGAAGTTATGTTTCGTTTGTTCCTAAGAAGTAGACGCAATGAAGTCCAGGACTCCCTAACGGTATTGTAGTCGCTACCACCTCCGGCAAAACGTCTAATTATCTGCATACTGGAAGACCAAAAATGTGAAAATGCGCTCGAGATTCGGCGTTCCGCTGTCGTCTTTAAGAATATGTTTGACAACAGATTTCGATTACATTTGCACGGTTCTTCAAACTTTTTTCAAGGGAAATACATCATTTTCATGGGGTATTATTTGCTATAGTTTTGTGTTGATACCTGATTTAATTCCACCAAAATATCTATGTCTGAATTGTGGCAAACCATATCCTCAAAAAGCATCCTCACGTGGCCTGATCACATGTCTAAATTGTCCATTAGAAATTGATCCAAACTTCACAGTGGTGGGTTTTGTCAGACAATACATCCGCCAAAAGTCAAATGTCGGCCTGCATCTCTATAAAGATTTCCGTGTCTGTTTGAAATCGTTGAAGATTTTCTAACTGATTCCGTATTATCACTGAATTGGAATCGTTCCTATTTATCTTTAATTAGGATTGATAGTAGAATCCATGAAATTATCAATCGAATGATCAACTTCAATAATATTTACGAGGTCCGTGGTCTGTTTTGAATAGTATGATCTTTGAGGTTCACATTGCGAGGCGGTATAAGGACGCCACTGAAATCATCTGGCGATTGTTCACCTTCTCTCTGAGGTTTCCTGCACGACTTTGTGAGAAATAAGAAGGATGCATCCAAGCGCTCCATCTCAAAATGTCGAGTTATTCGACTTTACAGTGCCAAAGTGGATGACCTGCAGGTTCTTTTCAAGTGGAACATTCGATTATGACTGTAGCGACCGAAGTAATAACACTCGTTTACAGATAACTAGAATTGCAACTTAGAAGATCAGTACGACAGGCTTTTTAAATGGCTTAATTTCCTTGAAGGATCGAGATATTCAGTGTCAAGGAACTTAGCCCTAAGTTCCTAATGTAACGAAGGCGCTTTGAACCGATAAAAACTATGTACTTGTCCCAACCTTAAATTTAAAAGACCAGTATTCTTTGAACGAATTTATATTGTTTGGCAATTAAAGTGAAGACAACTACAAAGTCTACAAACAAATGTTTAGTACAAATGAAGTTATAAAGTACTTTTATTCGTGTTCTTTCTGCCTTCTTCCAACTTGCACGCGATCGTACTATTCGCGCCTTCGAGTTGCCCACCAATGACTGCCAGTTCCAATAAACAAACGTTCAATGTTCACGTCCATTGCCATCCAGGTAGCCACATCTTACTAAAGGAAAAAACTTCACATCAGTAGTCAAAGCGTGGACGTGCTTCTATTCACCACTTTTATAAATTTATTTCGGTTCCGCAGCTCAGTTTGCAAATACAACAACAGATTGCTGGAAACTGAAAGGATTAAGACGTTTCGGTAGATTAGGCTGCATACAGACGCAGGTTCCCATCCTCTAACTGCCACAGTACTTGTGCTTTTAGAGGTTGCAGGTATCGACGTTCGCGAGTTGTACGGATTATACTAACGCAAGATCTTATACCAACAACTTCTATAGTGTTCGTTCTTCGAGTATCAAAGGTAAAGCAAAAGACCAGATTTTGTCGTCCAAAGTACGTAGTATATTTCGGGACAAAATCGCGGGTAGAGGTGAATGCTTTGCTAGCTAGTAATCATGCACGCACGTGACACGACGGAGTACCAAATGGCGGGGATGCTTGACCGGAAGCCTTCAGCTAAACAGGTCGACTTAAACAGTGATGGTCAGCATCCAATGTTGAGTGATGATTGCTGTGGTTAATAATTTTGGGGAATTATTCACCGCTACATGCCGTTTAGACCAAAGACTGATGAAAATGCCAAATCAATCGTCCAAAATACAAGACCTATTCGAGGATCAGAATCGTAGTGCGAGCTTAGCTGGCTAGGAATTGTGAGTGAACAAGTCAACGTAGCATGGCAGCGTGCTGAACTGTGTGGATGGCTGACCACGAACCTTCAGCTTAGCAACTCTACTGAAATGGTGAAGGTTAACATCCAGTATTGAGAGTATAGTGCTGCCCTCCCAGACTAACTAGCCTGCTGCAATAATGGACATGAGAACCTAATATCGAATGATGCTGATGGTATGGGCTAATTATTTTATGAAGTTAAACACCACTACCTTTCAAGTCACAGAGAGATTTTGAGCCACAGAACTCGTGTATATTTCTGGCCTCACAGAGTACCTGGAGTAATACGAGAGTATCGCTAATATTTGCGTTAGTTATGGAAGCAACATGACACTCCTGTATGGTCAAGAGTTAAACTTGGAGTGGCCATGTGGTTAGAAAGTAACTCTTCGGAATTTAAATTGGAAAAGTTTGGTTCAACTAATAAGTAACTTTAAATACGTCTGGGAAATATTGCCGCTAAGAGGTGGAAATGCTCGCCAATATAATATTCACATTAGTTTCTGATTTGTGTTTTTAATCATGCCCATCGTTGATCAGCAGACAGCTGGTGGATTTTCAGGTCTTCGTTGATGATGGCATTAGCTGCACAACCTGATTAGTATTCAATATTTTGCGGCAGGGGATAATTAATACTGAGAGATCAATGTAGTTCGCACCACATGAGATGGATAATTAGGATGCGTATGTGCCCAGTGTATGGTTATCCTGATAAGCTCAAATTTGGAGATGTAAATTGAAACCTATTTTGTCGGCATGGATAAGAAATTGGTGTGTATTTGGCAAGATGATAATAGATTGTTTGTCATTACTTTCAGGAATTGTATCTCCTAGTGAGGAATTTTTGGTATGTGGTGAGTTGGGTGCAATTCTCAGGGGTGAGGATATGTTCTATGACGTGTTAATTTTTCCGCGCCTCAGGTTTTCTCGTCTTTCATTGGCTGAAACAGTGGTGGCTAATTTGATATTTAATTTGTCCTTGTTAGGTGATGTCGTTGCAGGTTTGTGTGCTTGAGGTATGCGTTGTTTACAAGCATATTTGATGAAAATAAATGTAAAATTTGAGTATTCTAACGTTTTCTTTTACTTATTTGTGCATGTACAAGGCTTGGCTTATCATACACTCGGTTTGTTGGCCTATCGGTTGCTGGCGATGTCAAGGAACCCGTGAGTTCTTTGGCTTTTCTCGATTTTAGGCTATACGTGTAGCATTTTATCGGTGGATATTGCTCGGTGATGTATTTCAATGTTGCTTTTTCTACGGAATTATATTGAAACAGTCGTGAGACAGATGGATACTAATTGACAAAGCCTTTTTAGTTTATTGCAGGTAGCCAATGCGAGTGAGAGCATTATTTATCCTAT